ATCCGTTTGACGTAATTCGGACCTTAAATGCAAAGTTTGATGCATTAAGAAGTTTTGAAAAATTCCATGGATTTTGGGGTTTAATTCGTTGCTATTGAGGTTATTTTGGCGATTTGATCGCACGGTTAAGTTCGTATGATGTTATTGAGTTAGAACGTATGTTTGGTTAGGAGCCCCGAGGGCTCGGGTGTGTTTCGGAAGGTTTTGGACTTAGGAAAAGTTGCAGAATTGCTGCTGCAGGTGCACAGATCTTTTGTGCATCGCGATCGCGTAGTAACACTCGCGATCGCGATAGGGAAATATGGACAGGGGTGGATTTGTTCTTCGCGAACGCGAAGCCACAGTCGCAAACGCGGAGCACTGGGGGTTGCTCATCGCGAACGCGACCTGTGTGACGCGAACGCATAGTGTAAACTGGAGGTGGGCAGGGGACTCGCCTTTTCTTCTACGCGAACGCGTAATGCTGTCCGCGAATGCGAAGGTCAGGGAGGCTTACCCGTCGCGAACGCGTAGAGGAAATCGCGATCGTGTAAGTCCACTTACTGGCAGCTCTTCGCGATTGTGATAGTGTTCTCGCGAACGCGATGAACACTATCGTCCAACACTTAAAACAGTAGCCATTACGGGATTTTCACCAAAAACTCATAACTTCTTCATCTAAACACCAAATTGGGCAATTTTTAAAAGGGGATTTCACCACCAAATCATAGGTATGTAATCCTAGACTCTTTTCCTTCAATTTCCATTAACACCCATTAGATTTCTAGGCTTAAATCATATTCTTAAGGGTAGAAAATTAGGGATTTGGATAGAGTTAGGGCTTTTTGATTAATTGTGATTTAGACCTCGTTTTGGGTCAAATTTTAGAACTAATTATATATTCGGGCTCGTGGGTGAATGGGTGATCGGGTTTTAGTCCGAACCTCGTGTTTTGACGAAGCGGGCCCAGGGTCTATTTTTGGATTTTTGGGAAGAATGGTTAGAAAGCCATAATTAAGCATTGGAATTGGATTGTTTAGCATTTATTGATGTTATGAAGTCGATTATGTATAGATACAATTGATTTGGAGCCGAATTCGAAAGGAAAGGCGGTGTTTGAGGATTGAGTTGGCCGCGGAAGTTCGAGGTAAGTGTTTGGTCTAACCTTAGCTTGAGGGATTAGGAGTTGTGTCTATTTGCTACGTGTTAACTGTGGACTACGACGTATAGGCATGGTGACGAGTATCTATACGCCGGTGTCAAGCATGCCCGTGAGTCTTGTGTTATAAATTGTTATGACTCCGTTGTGGTTTATTGTGCCTCACATGTTATTATCATCATTGTTCCCTTGCCGGGAAGTTATTATGTTGTTCTTGTTCCCTTGACGGAATTCCTTGTGATTATTGTTGGTTGTAAATGGGAATGGGTGGTACGCCTACCACAAGATATAATAAAATGGGAGCGGGTGGTACGCATACCACAAGATATAATGAAATGGGAGCGGGTGGTACGCCTACCATAAGATATAATGAAATGGGAGCGGGTGGTACGCCTACCACAAGATATAATGAAATGGGAGCTGGTGGTACGCCAACCACAAGACATAATAAAATGGGAGCGCGTGGTACGCCTACCACGAGATACATGCGATGGGGGAGGGTGGCTCGCCTGCCACAAGATATGAGAAACGGGATTGGGTTGCACGCTTGCAACAAGATGTGAAAAGAAAGTGAAACCTGCCTTTATTTTTCCTTTATTCTCGTTAGTGGTTGGACTTTTGATTCCTTTATATTCTATTGATATTCTGTTTTTACCTGTTTTTCCCCGAAGCATGTTTCTCCCTCCCACCTTTACTTGTTTATTTCCGTACCTCTTTTTCCACTATATATATTTGAACTGCACAGGTTTATTTGGTAGTCTGGTCCTAGCCTCGTCACTACCTCGCCGAGGTTAGGCTAGGCACTTACCAGCACATGGGGTCGGTTGTGCTGATGCTACACTCTGCACTCTTTTGTGCAGATCCCAGTGCTGTTGACTTCGGACCGTAGGTTGGAGGCTATTATCAGTTCACGCGAAGATCCAAGGTAGACCTGCAGGCGTCCGCAGGCCTTGGCGTCTCCTCTATCCTTATTTCCTGTTTCATTTTCCTTATCTTCTGAAACAGTGTATTGATATTTTCTTCAGACTTTGTATGTAGTAAATCTTAGACCGTCTGTGATCCTGTGACACCAGTTCTGGGTAGTCGAGGTTCAAACCGTTGTATTAGATATTCATGTTCAGATAGCTTATGGCTTCTTTCTTCCGCTTATGTTAAATTCCGTTGTTTAAATGTTATTATTATTATTATTGAGAATTGCTAATGACCATAAAATGAGTAAAAAGGGTAAATTCTGAAATTAATTGTCTTGCCTAGCTCGTACTAGTAGGCGCCATCACGACTCCCGAGGGTGGGAATCCGGGTCGTGACACTCCGTTTGTATTGTTCATGCCTTATGTGATGATTTCTATTGTTGAGCAAGGCTTGTGGAAGTAATAATGTTGTAAAGTGAATTGTTGAAGTATAATTGGCAATTGAACCTTATAGAGCATTGGCTCAAGTTGTAAAGTGAATTGTTGAAGTATAATTGGCAATTGAACCTTATAGAGCATTGGCTCAAATTGTGAAGTGAGTTGTGAAGTAAATGTGGAAAGGAAAAGAGAAGAGGATTATTAAATTGTTCCCTTGTCGGGGTTTTGTTGTGATTCCATTTATTTTCTTGTCCTTATTTCTTGTTATTATTGTTTGGGTGAGGAAGAGCGTCAAAGCACGAAGGGTGATACCGTGCACTTGTCCTTGATTTTTTTTGAATTTTGCTGATAATTGAGTTATGTTGTCCTTTACGTTTATTTACTGATTTTCGGTTGTTACTTAATTTTATTATGATGTTATTGATTTTCTTGTCGGGATATTATTGTTCCCTTATTGTTCCCTTGTCGGGACTCTTTTGCGATTGGTGTTGAATATTATATTTGGATCGGGTTGCACGCCGCAACAATATTATATTTGGATCGGGTTGCACGCCGCAATAATATTATATTTGGATTGAGTTGCACGCCGCAACAATATTATATTTGGATCGGGTTGCACGCCGCAACAATATTATATTTGGATCGGTTGCACGCCGCAACAATATTATATTTGGATCGGGTTGCACGCCACAACAATATTATATTTGGATCGGGTTGCACACCGCAATAGAGATAAATGATATGGATCGGGTTGCACGCCGCAACAATATTACATTTGGATCGGGTTGCACGCCGCAACAATATTATATTTGGATCGGGTTGCACGCCGCAACAGAGATAAATAATATGGATCGGGTTGCACGCCGCAACAGTGTTTTATGATTTGGAACGGGTTGCGCGCCGCAACAATAATGATAGAAGTGGTTGTTAACTGGTTACGACTTTCCTTATTCTTTCTGCTGCAAGTTTTAAATTGTTCTTTATGCTTTTCTCGTGGACTATTGTTGGTAAATGATATTTCCCCGTAGCATGTCCTCTTCCCATCTTTAATTGTTTATTTCTGTTCATTTTCTGCTGTATATGATATAACTGCACATGTTTATTTGGTAGTCTGGTCCTAGCCTCGTCACTACTTCGCCGGGGTTAGGCCAAGCACTTACCAGAACATGGGGTCGGTTGTGCTAATACTACACTCTGCACTGTGTGCAGATCCCGGACGGCAGCTTTTGGATCGTAGTTTTAGGTGGCTGCATTCAGTCCAGTCAGAGATTCCGAGGTTGTCCTGCAGGCGTCCGCAGGCCCCGACGTTCTCTTCTATCTTTATATTCTGTTTTCATTTACTTCCGAGACAGATTGTATCTTTCTTTCAGACCTTGTTTGTAGTAATTCTAGACTATCTGTGAAGCGTGACACCAGTTATGGGAGGATTTTGCTTGAGATGATGTATTGGATATTTATTCAAATGTTTTATCGTTTCTTCCGCTTGTATAAAAATTTTGCTGTTTATAAGCTATTGTTCCTAACTGTTAAAGGATTTAAAATTGGGAAAAGATAATTTATTTACACTATTGGCTTGCCTAGCTTTCATTAGTAGGCGCCATCACGACTCCCGAGGGTGGAAAATCCGGGTCGTGACATCCTACCACCTCTCATTTAAAGGTAGATAAAAGAATACTACAATCTTGTAACGACCCTACGGTCGTTTTGAGCATTTGCATTCCATTCAACTATTGAAGTCTCGAGTAGCTTCATATGATGTATTATGACTTGTGTGAATCGTCGATTTTAGTTTTTAGGTGTTTCGGGATTGAATTGGAAGAATGATTTTCAACTAGGAAGTTTTATGTTGGAAGAGTTGACCAAGTTTGACTTTTGCGTATTTGAACCCGGATCGGAGTTTTGATGATTCCGTTAGGTCCGGAGGGTTATTTTGGACTTGGACATAATGCCCAGATTTGCATTTGGATGTTTCTAGAAGGTTTCAGCACTATTTGGTGAAAGTTGGCAATTTGAAGGTTTGGCATGTTTATAAGTTTGATCGGGAGTTAACTTTGATGATATCGGGTTAGAATGGTGGTTCCGGGAATCGGAATAGCTTCGTTATGTCATTCGGGACTTGCGTGTTTGATTAGTTACTTTAAAAAAGCATTTCTAAACAGCAATTAGTGTTTGATCAAGCTTTTAAAAAGTGCTTCTAAATATATTTTTCTCTAAAAAGTACTTTTGGAGATAAATTACTTTATTATGCTTCTAATCAAAAACATTTTTTTCTTCTAAAAGCTTGGCCAAAAACTACCAACTTTGGGGGAAAAAAATCTTAGAGAACCTGGGCCAAAGAGGCTAGTAAAGTATAAGATCCCAAACTAATAACATGGATAGAAGTAAAAGTCAGCTGCTTAACACACACACACACACATATATATATATATATATATATATATATATATATATATATAAGACGTACCCCAAACTAATTTAAGATTTCGTTCCATTCAAAAGATCACATGGCTTAATGGACTAAGATGCATATAAGAATTGCTCAATTTTTGGTTACAAAGCTAATTCGGAAAAGTTAATGTAAATTAAGGACAAATTCAAATTTTCTATAAATCTCCACTACCAACTCCAAAGGTTTTCTCTGGATGCCTTTGGAAATGCAACAGCCTAGAGCCCAAGACATTCATGCAGATGACTCTCTCTTTTTGCATAATTAAGCACGTTTTATGTGCAAATAGCTTTACACATTTTTTACCCAAGAAATTATGATTTAAAAAAAGCAGTGTTCTGACTTGAAAAATTAAGTATTGAGAAACTAGAAATTTGAACGTTCAGATGTCCAACTGCAACTCATTACACATTGAAAACTAAAATTTGCCGATTGGCATATCTTTCTGGCTTATGCATCTCCAAATTCCAATTAGTTTCTCCTTCGCTAGGCCTGCATTTTAACAAAATCAATTCAGCGGAGGTCACCATAATATACACTCTGAGACCATGAATGTGATCAATGCAGCATTTCCAAATATTTCACTGCTACTGGAATTCAAGAAGCCCCAGCTTAACAACGCATGGAGTAGTCAAAAACAACTAAAGATCGGGTCAGGCTAAATGGCAAATATCACAAAGATTTTCATGTATCATGCTTGAGGAAAAAAAACATTAGAGATGGACATATTACATGTTATAGGCTGGTGAGGAGGGAGAGATGACAAAAAATCTTCTTTTTTTTTTCTTTTTCACTTTATTCTATTTAAAGGGGTGGGATGGGATTGGAATTGGCACCCATGAGAACCAATGTGAACAAGAAAGCGCACAAACAGAGAGAAACAAACCGCACAAACAGCCATTTGTTTCTACACTGTTCAGTAGCTGCAGATATGTGGAACATGTTTCTCTCACTTTTTGGACTCAACGGTCATGCCTCAGAGCACCAAGGAAGCCTTTAGAAACTGGAACACATGGAAAGTTGATAAAGCCATCAAACAAGTCTGGAGAATGATTGTTGCTAGTATTTTTTTGTGTTTATGGATAGAAAGAAATAGGAGATGCTTTGATAGTGTATCAACTCCAATTCACTCTATTAAGGCTAGGTGCTTAATGTTTCTTTTTAGTTGGCACAAAATGTCCCCTGTAGACACCCCTACACCCCTGATAGCTTTCTGAACTTTGTCAGCACCTTGGTCTTAGATTAGCATTTCTTGTGTTAGAGCTGACTTAGTTCTTTTTGCTGTATTATCTTTTGTACTACTGCATCTTCTTGATGCCATCAATGAACAAAGTACTTCATCAACCAAAAAAAAAACAGAGAAACAAACCGAAGCACAAAATTAACAACAGTAATAGAACAGACTACCATGAATCTGGAAGAAAATATAAATTCCATTTATGATTGGAATATAAACATGAACCAGTGACAGAGTGAGACCTTTCCAACGGAACAAAATGAAATGAATATTACAGCTTTCAGGATGATCACATTTTCTATATCTTCTTCCATGCAACATCACATGAAGTGGTACTTCTCTCAGCAACTTATAACTAAAACGCATGATGTAGGTTGTGGAGCCATCAAAGTTGAAGGCTAGGCAGAGCCATTGGACAAGCATTTTGCATAAGAATTTCATCAAATGGTTCACATAAGATATCAACTCAGATGTTACATGCATTTTCTAGTCATCACATTTCATATACCTCCATAAAAGGGCAGCCCGGTGCACTAAGCTCCCGCTATTCGCGGGGTCCATATAGAACAATTTCTTTTCTTTGATAACGACCTCCTTACCGATCAATTAATGGATAAAATTGCTGAATTTATAACCAAAGGCCCAAAGTGAAATACGCTTTCACCCCGGAGTAACTTTTTCTTTCTAGGAAAGTTCATCTAAGGTAAATTCGGAAACCTAGTCTTCACACAGCCTCCAACCACCCACTATTTGACAATCAATCAATCAATTATATCTCAAATCAAAACTAGCTGGATTGGCTACATGAATCCTTTATATCCGTCCGCTCAATACGCATCATGCAAATATCCCCTTCTAAACGTTACCACAAAACAAGGGTCTCACATCCTTAGGGAACAAAAAAATTCTAAATGTTACTAATTAGACAAAGCTCTTTGCAGTAGCTGAATGACTATGTGCAGCCTTTAACAAAAGAATACTACTTGAATATAATCCAGAATGCATATCTAAACATGTGTATGAACACATAGAAAATCCGTGAATGCAAATTCATGTAACACAGTTCAATAAAAAACCATTTCCTGGGATAGAATTTATTATTTAGAACGACAGATCCAGCAATAATTATCAAAAAAGTGTCAAAATCCTAAAATGATTACCAGTTAAGAAGCACCAACGATGATGTTGTTGATAGGAATAAAAATCAACTTGACGAAAAATCCAACAAACCCCATGACGACGAAACCGATGGCGGTACGAGTCGCAACCTTAGTGAATTCTGCACCAAATAATCAAAGAAGTTGAGGAAACGGGCATATACAAATAGATCGATGCCTAGAAAAAAAAATAGTACCTTTGCGATCAGGCTTGTGACATCTTTTGACAAGTCTAACGCTGTCTTTGGCGAAATCTCTAAGAGGATCGAAAACAGAGTCTAAGGCGTCCATTTTAGCGCTGAAAGAGGAGTGCGGATCTGGTTTGAGGAGAAAGGGGTTTTGGATTTTTTGATATATAAATAAATAAATAAATACTAATGAAATCTCGATAGAGAAAAGGAATGTGATTGGTGAGGTGACAGCTGAGTGACGCTACCTGAATTCCCTAAAGTACCCACTTCTTTCTTTCCACGTCCATTTTCTTTCTTTCTTATGCTTGTTTGCAAAAAAAGAGTAAAAAGAACCTGTCTAATTAGAGTTAGTATTAAATTTGAATTTGTGCAGTTCAATTGAATTGTAAAATGAGAGCAAATTAGAATAAAAACAGAAATGGAGGTAAAAGTTATTTAGGCAAGAATTTAAATATTTCTTGTTCAAGTGTAACTATTTAAAAGGTGAAGAACATTTTTTATAGGGTGTAAGAACCATTCAAAAGTTATACCTCGCTAATAAAGTATTGAATAAGTACATAAATTCATCATTATACATAAATTCATCAAATGAAATGATAGAAGATTTGCACTCATATCCATATTAATTTATCTTATTCATAACACTTTTCATTAGGTGTTCATTTTAAAAATAATACGTCTCGTTAAATCCTTATTAGAAAAAAACTAATGAGAAAAAGCATAGCTAAGGATGTAAAGTACACACGTTTTATAATACACATATAGAGATGCCTCACTAAAAACCTTATCATGAAAATCCAATTAGGATAAAATCTTGATTAAGAAAAATTTAGTGCATCGCATATTTATTACCCCTAATGAAAATATTGTAAGATATCTCGAAGACGGCATATTCCAATCTTGTAGATCAACTTCTCAAATTTTGATGTTGCAATTCCTTAGTGAACATATTATGAGCACGCAGTTTTTTCCCGATGTGAAAAATGCTCCTAAAAAAATTTCCAAAAGACCTTTTAATTATTTAATAGAATTGTAGGATTTTTCTATATTCTCTTTAATTCGTTTTTGTGCGTATTTGAATTTTGTGCATTTAACGTTTTAAATCGTAAAAATGACTAAAATATTTTATAATTATGTCTTTACATTTTTAGATCTTAATTGTATGATTAATTGCATCTCTAAAATATGAAAAATCACAGAATACTTTTAGTTACTCTTATTATATGCATTTTTAGGTTAGTTGATTAGTTATTATGTCACAAGTTTCATTAGTTTAGTAGGTCAAATATGCAAAATAGTTTCAATTAAAATTAAGTTGGCTAGATTTGAAAATTGAATAAAGAAAAGAAAGAGGTCATTTTTAGTTTCAGATCAATTTGGGCCTAAAATTCGGCAGTCCAATTTTGCCAAAGCCTACTTGTGACCCGGTCCAAGAATCCCACCCCTTCAGATGGCCAAACGACGTAGTCTTCGCTCTAAACTACGTTGTTTTGCCAATGAGCTCCTTTTAATAAAACAAATTCATAAAAGTTTAGTCTTTACACTCATTCCTTAAATTCACTCAAACCCTCTGCCTAATTTTAGAATTTAGGGCGGCTAAAATTCATCTCCATCGCCCCTTCCGCCGTTAGCCACCATGTTGACCATCGTTGACCTCCGTCGAAAATCGCCTCACAGCGGCGGCCCGTCTCTAAATCACTCCAAATTTTAATCGGACACTCCTTACTACCTCTCCATCCCTAATCCGCCATCATCTTCCTCAAAAATTGTGATGACTCGATGGGTCATCTAGAGTTTTAAACCTTAATTATGTATTTCGAAATCTTAAATACCTTTTTTTGGCCTTTCTCGATTTGCATGTGCAGTCTGTGTCTTTTTCCGAAAAGCTTTTATGTTAAATATTGATAAAATATGAAATTATGCCTTAAAAATACATTTGAGTTGACTTTGGTCAACGTTTCGAGCAAACATATCCGGATCTATGGGTCCGTATCGTAATTTAGGACTTGGGTGTATGCCCGAAAATAAATTCGGAGGTCTCTAGCTTGAGTTATTGCTTTTTTTGTCGAAATTTAAAGCTTAAAGGTTTAAAGGGTTTAAAGATTTGACCAAGATTTGACTTTATTGCTACCGGGTCCGGATTTTAGTTCCGGAGCTTGGTATATGTTCATTACTATATTTAGGACTTGTCTGCAAATTTTAGTGAAAACCGGAGTTAGTTTGATGCGATTCGGATGTTCGGTTATAAAAATAGAAATTCTAAAGTTTCATTAAAAATTTTATTTGATTTGGTGTCCGATTCGTAGTTCTAGGTGTTATTGATCGCGCGAGCAAGTTCATATAATAATTTTAGACTTGTGTGCATATTTGGTTTGGAGCCCCGAGGGCTCGGGTGAGTTTAGGATAGGCTACGGATGGTTTGAACTTGGAAATTTGCTGGTTTTAAACGTCTACTGTTTCTGTTGTTTTCTTCTTCGCGAAAGTGAAGCTACTCTCGCGATCGCGAAGAGTGATTTGGGCTGGGGAGGGAATAACCCTACGCGAATGCGAGGCATAGGACGTGATCGCGAAGCGGTGGGGGGACTACCCTTCGCGAACACGTCCACATCCATGTGAACGCGTAGCTTTATGAGGTGGGGGCTGGGAACTGAACATTACTCTTCGCGAACACGTAGGCAGGTATGTGTAATCCTTCACGAACGCGAAGGATATCACGCGAACGCGTAGGCTATTTGAGGTGCTGCTTCGCGATCGCGTCAGGCCCTTCGCGAACCCGAAGAAGGCCTGACGCCCAGTAATTTAAATGCAAAAACGGGATTTCTTCTATTTTTCATAAACCTTCCACTAGAGTTCGACCTAGAGGTGATTTAGAAAAGAAAACTCAGCATCAATTCATAGGTTTGTACACTCTAACTCATTTTCTTCCATTTCTAACATCACCCATTAATTTATAGCCCTAATCTTTGTTCTTTCATGGTAGAAAACTAGGGATTTAGGAAGAATTGGAATTTTTTGCAAATTAGGGATTTAGACCCAAATTTGAGGTCGGATTCTGAAACTAATTACATAATCGGGCTCGGGGTTGAATGGGTAAATGAGTTTTGGTTTGAACCTCGAGTTTTGACCAAGGGAGCCGGAGGTTTATTTTTGGCTTTTTGGGAAAAAGTGTGGAAATCCTAAATTTATGCATTGTAATTGATTCCTTTAGCAATATTTGACATTATCGAGTCAATTGTGGTTAGATACGAGTGATTTGGAGGCGGATTCTAGGGAAAAGGCCCTGGTAGAGCTCTGAGTTGACTGCGGATTGAGGTAAGTGTTGAGTTTAACCTTGATTTGAGGGAACTAGGAACCCTCGGACTATGTGCTATGTAAATTTTTTGTGTTGCGCCGTTTATGCAAGGTGACGAGTTCTTATATGTCGCCAGATTACTTGTTTCCCTGATTTTCCGCTTTTCCTTAATTATTTTCTTCCATGCCTTAATTGTTATGTGCTTTAAATACCTTCCATGCTTTATTTCCTTACTTGTTAATCATTGTTTCTCCTGTTAAAAATTGTTAGACCTTTCCATGCTTTCATGGCTCGTTGTTATTGCCTCAATTGACTTAATTTCACCTTTTAATTGTCATTTACCAGGCTTTTCTTGTCGTGAAAAATTACATATGTGAATTCTCAATTTGGTACGAGGCTTCCTTTCGGATTCAACTTCTTATTCGTCAATCGTAGAAGTTCTTGTGATTTAAGTTATTGATTTGATTGTGCTCATGGAATATTTAATACTGATATGGTGGGATCGGGTTGCACGCCGCAACAAATAAAATAACGATGGATTAACATGGGGGAATAAGGGTGAATTTGTATTGATGTGGTGGGATCGGGTTGCACGCTGCAACAGGTGAAATAAGGGTGGATTGATACGGTAAAATAAGGGTGAATTGTGATATTGATTTTGTTATATGGTGGGATCGGCTTGCGCGCCACAACATATATTTATTTATCATTGTTGGTATTGTTACGATGGAATAAGGGTGAATCTATGTGTTTGTATTTCCTTGAGCTGTGTTGGTTTTCGATATTTTTCATATGAAACTCTAAGGATTGGTAATTATGAAAGTTACTGGTTTTCTTTGAGGATTTAGCTATTTTCTTCAGTTAACTGTCTTATTTTATTTCGTATCTTCTTCTTCTGTCTTTATTATATACTGCGTACAGGTTATAGTGTAAGTGACCTGCCTTAGCCTCGTCACTACTTCGTCGAGGTTAGGCTCGACACTTACATAGTACATGGGGTCAGTTGTAATACTACACTCTGCACTTTTTGTGCAGATTTGGTGCTCGGGTTGGCTAGCTTTGTGGAGACTTGAGGTACAGCTGCTTAGCGTCCGCAGCTCCTAGAGTCCCCTTCCCTTTTTATTAGCTGTGTATTTTTCCTTCAGACAGCTTTATATTTTATTCAGACATTTATTTGTACTATTCTAGTAGCTCGTGCACTTGTGATACCGGGTCCAGGGTTGTATTAGATATTTCAGTCGTTATGGCTTCTGCATTTTTACTTCGGATTAATACAATTATTTCAGTTTCTTTCTTATCATTTAATTTGAACTATCGAAAATGAATATATTGTTCTAACGTTGGCTTGCCTAGCAAGTGAAATGTTAGGCGTCATCACGAGAAGGTGGAAATTCCGGTTCGTGACCAAAACTCACTCAAACTCCACGATTAGTGGTTCTGGAAATGCAAGAGAATCTAAAATCGCCCCTTTTCGATTTCCTTTCAAACCTTATGTCGATTCCCCCTTTTTCTTAAAAAGGCGAAATCGGGTTTACGACATTTGGGAGGACAACTCTCTTCCCTTTTGGGAATTGGGTTTTGGAGTTTGAAGAGTCGCCACCTAATAATTAAGTGTATTAGGACACTAAGAAGGGTTTGAGTTGAATAACCAGAGTTTGGGTAAGGGCTAGAAATTATCTCGAGGGGAAGGTGTTAGGCACCCCTCAAGATCCACTAGTGTGGTTCCCAGCCATGCTACAATTGTGACTTTAAAGCAAATAAGCATACAAGACAATTTCACATAAAGACTGCAAATAGGTATGCATAACGGTTACTAAACATGCTGAAATTTGAATAGGTGACTTCCTAGTTATTGGCAAGAATATCTAAATACAGAAAA